ACAGTTAATGTATGTTCTGTTCTCTTGACAAGGGCATAGCTCATCCTTATGAGGAGAAAGGTGCTTGATGTTTGCCTGAGGCTGGCTCTGCGTTCTGGATTAGGTGGCACCCTCAAAGAGAGAGAGGGACCATCTCATTGCTGACAGCAGCAGAGCATGGAGAACTGCAGAAGGAAGAAGCTTCATGAGTGCAGGGTGGGGAAGGCAGAGGTGGGGAGACCAAGTCAACACAAAGTCTTTAGAAAGGGATGAATGAGGAATGTCAAGAAGAGCAAGGAGCAGGGGCACAGCCAGGGTTCAGCTAGAATAGGAAAACAGTTTATGAGAGTGTGGAGGGATCCGTGCAGTCTGTTACAGCCCAAGAGGTCCTCTGAATGCTGCTGATCTGAAAGCAAAACTAAAAGAAGGAACCTGCCTGCTGAGCAGAGAGGGTGTGGCTAGAGAAGGTTTGATCAAACTCCTTTTTTTATTCTGCTTCATTCAAGAGGGACAGTAAATTTTCAAAATTCCTTCATTCTAGTTCATGTTTAAGAAGAACAAAATCTTAGGCTGTAAAGGTTCCTTTGTGTAGTTTTGATTCATTCAATGGCCTTTCTAGATAACCAATTAAATATTCGGACAGTGCTTAAAAAAATTGGCCACATTTTCTTGAAATCTGCAGTTTTGGCTGGTATACATATTACTATTCTACTTAACTTCCATCCAGCCCATGAAAAAAGTGCAGCCTTTTGTAGGAAAAGCAGTTAATGAGCTTTGCTTATGAATATGTTTATGATGTTTTCAGTTTGATTTTGACATATTACTGGCATTGTTAACATTTTTGTTTCCTTTCACTTGTGTAGAAGTAGAAACATTTTAGAAATGTGCTAAGTACTTCATGCAGGCATTGTTGCATTGGACACAATTACATGATGAAGAGAAACATGAAATATATGCATCTGTATCTCACACAGGATAAGGATCTTCAAAGGGCTATCTGTAGATCAAAGCCCAGCTGTAAAGGGTGATCAAATAACCTGCTGAATAAGACTAGAGGCTGAAGCCTTTTGGTACAGAAGCCCTGGTTTGTTTTGCCATAGACAGTGTCTTCTTGTGGGAGGTCCCAGTTTTGTGTCATCCCCGTTTGCACATGCACACGAAGATCCAGCACACACACATCAGTCTCCTCTCATGTGTATGGCAGAGCTGTAGCAGCTCTTAACTCCTCCATCATCCAACTCTCAACTCCTTTCAAAAAAAATCTGAAAATCATTGCACAAAACACATACTCCAGAAACTAATCTCAGCCAAAAACTTAGGAAAAAGGTTTAAAAGGGGATGGTGGGGCATGGGGGAACCAACCCAAAGCCCATTGTTTGTATATCCCTGTTAAGACAGATGAAGCTCTATAAATAAAATTATTGGTAAACTTCCTGTCATGGACGAGTGTGTATTAATACTTGCTATGAGCAATAAGTTCCATAATGAACTCTCTTCTTCCCTGAAACATTCCCAAGATTTCCAGCTATACATACACAAGGACACAATATATGAGCTGTACAGCTCTTTGTATCTCCATCATTTACAGAGACCTTGTTTCTTCATGATTCCTCAATGATGTAATAAGAAAGCAGTGGAATAATTAAACTTCAAAATTGACAATTATTGTACTTTTTTGGCTGTGTAAATGTAAGCAGAGACAGTTTCATGCTGTTTGTTAACTAATGGCAAGAAAAGTTCATTTATATTCTTATTAATCAGGTCTTAACAGTGTAAAGTGCTGAAGGACCTACCTTTGAGCAGTTCTGACCCAGTGCAATTCCAGACAGAACAGAATGCATCCCTCTTTGTGCAAGAGTTTCAGGAGGGCACTAGAATGTGTAACAACCTGCGTTGAAAAATGTAAGGAAGAATAGGAGATTGCACAGTGCAACAGCAGGAGCTTTTGCCCACATTAGGAAGAAAGAGTGAGTCCACAGGAAGAAACACAGTGTCTTCTGTCTTCAAGTTCTGAAGTAGAAATGCCAGCTTAGGACAAATGCTAAGTTAAGAGACCATAGCTGCTCTTAAAAACAGAGAGAAGAGAAGAGAAGAGAAGAGAAGAGAAGAGAAGAGAAGAGAAGAGAAGAGAAGAGAAGAGAAGAGAAGAGAAGAGAAGAGAAGAGAAGAGAAGAGAAGAGAAGAGAAGAGAAGAGAAGAGAAGAGAAAAGAGAAGAGAAGAGAGAAGAGAAGAAAGTGAGTTTGATGAATAAGATGAGTCAAGGAAAATCTTGTGGAATTTTCATAAGAAACAGCATTTCTGGACCTGTTGGAGGACAGAACAGTTTTAGCAAAAGAGTTTTTGATGGATAGGAAGTAAACAGAATATAATACCAAGCTTTAGCTTTTTGGACTTGAGCTGTCCCTAAATTGTTTCCAAAGGTTTCATAGCCATGATCATTTTTTCTAGTATTCCCAAACTTTCATTAAAATGATTGGAAGCTCCAGTGCTATTGCTGGCTTCCTGACAGCTAGTTGTTACTGCAATCAACAGTTGCTTGAAGGAAGGCTTGATTAAAGTGTCACATTGTTGTAGTGAACTGGCATGTGACTTTTGTTTCTCCAGCAGACTTCCTTATCTCAAGCCTTTAATGAGGACCATTTAGAAGAGGGGTTTTTTCTCCTTGGGGCTTTTTTTTTTTTAAAGCGGAACTCTTGAACTTTTCTCTTAAGCAAAATTCATTTGATGTTGAGTGTGTCTTATTCAAATGTCCTTGACATTCATATCAAAAGATCTTTCATAACCTGTGCTGTACACACACTAACAATGAGGAACTGAAACTTTTCCTCATATCATGTTTTGGGTTATACACACTCCAAGCATTAAAGCAGTTTAATTGTCTTCCAAGTGGGTAACAGAACATAATAATCGTTAATTGTTATGATAGGAAAATATATAGGACTTGCTGAGTTAAAGTCCAATTGTCTTAGTTTGGTAACGAGGCATAAACAATGGAGGAAGCTGGAAAGTGGACAGAGGGTGTCGTTTGTCAGATAATGCTCTTGTGAGGTCTTTTGGAACTAGCTTAAAACATTCACTGCCATCCCAGAAGACTGATTTTCATTTGTACCTGTGCAAGGTTTTCCAGGTCAGCTAAGAGCTACTGATTAAGTCAATTCGAACCCATTTGACACTGAAAGTTAGAACATGCTTGTACAATCCAGTTTGATGACTCCTTTGTGGGAACAGTAACCTCCAGCTGTGACACTGAAACAAACACCTGGGAGTGGCGCAGTGAAACTGCACTGGCCACTTCCAAAGTGATTACACCCTAATGTACCCAGTGCCTATTCAGAAAGGGCCTGATGAAGGCTTTATTGGCAAGGAAAGAGTTCTTTATTCAGTAACTGTAGTGTGAGCTTGTCATCCACCCGTCCCCTCACAGACACTTGTGGGAGAACATCCGAAGGGTTTTAAGGAGGGAAAACTGGATTAATTTCACTTTCCGTGAGATAGATCTTGGAGAAGAGCCTCCAGGGTGTTGGGAAGTGGGGCCGAGGGTGTGGGTGGCATAGGAAAGGGGTTAAAAGACAGCAGTGCAAGGTGATAGTGCAGAGAAGTACAGCAGGACTTCATTGTGGCTTGAAAGAAAGAGTATGGTGGAGGGGAGAGCCAATGAAGGCAGTCCTCCGGGGTATGAGGGAAATACCACAGTTAAAATGTAGGGGAGAATGTTATCTCAGGACCTGAGTATCTGCTGTAGTAAAAAGGCCTCTGAGAGGCCTAAGAGGTATTTGGCATTGTAAATGAAGAAGAGGATTGAAATGTTAATTTCAAAGAACAAAGAAAGATATAGATTCTGGACTGGTCCTTAGAGGGGATCAGATGTTGACACTAGTCACAGTGTCAAAGGAGACTGAGAGGAGATTCAGCAGCTGGACTTCACAAATGTCATATTCTGAAGCAAGTAGCTCCGTGCTAAGGAAAGCAATCTGCAAGACAGCACATTTGTGTCTGCTTACAGACAGCACATCCAGTGCTTGAGAGCTGGAAAGGTCTTAACATGAGCTAACTGTGTTAATGCAAGTACCAGTAAGGTGTTTCTGCAACAAGGGTCCTGTATGTGACCCAACATGGCTTGATTGGCCCAATTTCAAGCAGGTATTCCTAGCCATGGTTGTGTTTTTTTCAGCAGCTGTCTATGTGTGTAGTACAGATTGGAATTTCTCTTTTTATAGAATCATAGAATGGTTTGGGTTGGAAGGGATCTTCAGGATCAAATAGTTCCAAACCCTCTTGCCATAGCCAGAGACACCTTCCGCTAGACCAGGTTACTCAGAGCCCCATTTAACCTGTCCTCGAACAGCTCCAAGGATGGGGCATCCACAGCTTCTCTGTACAACTCGTCTCAGTGTCTTGCCACTCTCGAAATGAAGAATTTCTCTGTAGTATTTTTCTAAACCTGCTCTCTTTCAGTTTAAAGCCATTCACCTTTGCCCTATCATTGCCTGTCCTGGTAAGGTCACTCTCCAGCTTTGCTATAGCCTCCTTTAGGTACCAGAAGGCTGCTCTAAGGTTCTCTTGGAAACTTCCTGGGTTGAACAACCTCAGCTCTCTCAGCCTGTCATCACAGGAAAGGTGCTTCATTCATGGCCTTCCTCTGGACTCACTCCAACAGGTCCACGATCTTCTTACGTTGGGGGCCCCAGAGCTGGATGCAGAATGCCAGGTGGGGTCTCACCAGAGTGGTGTGGGGCGGAGAATCCCCTCCCTCACCCTGCTGGCCATGCTGCTTTTGATGCAGCCTAGGATACAATTGGCATGTTGCTGGGTCGTGTCAACCTTCTTGTCCACCAACACCCCCAGGTCCTTCTCCTGAGGGCTGCTTTCAATCTAGTGTACAGTGTACTACACATATTTTAATATACTACTTATATTTTAATAGCATAATAATATTTTACTTTATAAGGTTATCTTGCATCCATGATACAAATGAACAGTGTGGTTCACAAAGGTCTTCTGGTTTGTTTGTGTTCAATAGGTATTAGCCCGTCACCTCCGACCTGGAACTCTGCGTGCTGTTTTTGGGAAGGACAAGATTCAGAATGCTGTTCACTGCACAGACCTGCCTGAAGATGGACTTTTAGAGGTAAGGCTTGCTAGGCAAACATGTTCTCACAGGAAGTTGTAATGCTTCTCTTGACACTCTTTTAAGCTAGTAAGTGTTTTCTTTATGGAGCAGCTGTGTTCTAGACCAGACTAGACACAAAAAGAGAAAGTTTGTTAAGGGTGTTAGACTTAGTTAATTCTGATACTGTAAAAAAATTCATCCATGCAGTTTTCTTGAATTAATACAGTACAATGAAGTATTCAATGGAATGAAACTCAAGAGTCTTCTCTTTGTCTGAATGTGTCCTTGGGTCTGAACATCAGTACCTCACACTGCTTCTGCAGCGATACTTTCTTAGCCCTTTCTTGGGTGACCACCCTGACTCCTGAACTAAATTGTGTCTACAGTGAACTTGTGTGGAGCTTGGAATATTACAGGCAGTAGGGATTCAAATCCTCCAGATAGGGCCTAGGTTTATTTGTAGACAGTCATACTTACGTACATCAGTTAACATTTCCTGTTTCTATATTAACTTACTAATTATTATCTGATTTTGGCTTTATATGCCAAAATTTAAAGTCCAATAAAATGAGAAAATGATAAATTGCAGGACTTTGTAAAGACAGAAGTACTCATTATGAAAACCAGAACAAGCTCATTCACTTAATTCTGTGCCTCAAAACTAAGGTCCATGGCAGGGGGTTGAAATTGTGTGTAATCTTGGATGGATCTCTGTGTCAATAGAGATGCTTTTCAAGTGCATGCACAGCTTATTTTTTGCTGCCTGTATGTATTTGTGAGTGCTTTGGTGTCAGGTACAGCAGAACCATTGAGCAGCAAGTGCTGTCCTACTTAGATAATTTTACATTGCCAAAATGGTGGTTTCATGGGGGAGTGAGGAAGATCGAACTTCATCTTCCTCCATGAAATAACCTGTGGGTTAAAGTGCTTTTGCTAGGAAATCCCATCTAGTTTAAGGCACAGACTAGTGAAATTCAGCACTGAGGATGGCAACCAGTATAAACAAAGTTGCAGCTTTTTTACCATTTTCAAGATATCATTAAAAGTTAACAATTTTGAGTTTTTCCATTAGGGTTTATACAAGCAAACAGGTATTTTTTCACCACATGCCTGAAGTTCCTCATCCATGGCTTTCCAGTGGCAGCAGAACAAAAGAACCGCCTGTAAGGGGAAAATTAAACAAGCCAACACTCGAAGAACATTTTAGTACTCCATCAGAATTTTCCACTGTCTGTTGCCTTTACATTGGTGCAAAGCAGGTTTTGCTGGTTGTTTAAATTGTGTTCAGAGCCACTATAAGTGAGGCAAGAGTTGCTTCTCCAAAACAAAAACTGAGCCTGGCATTCTTTCTCAAGGGTCTCCATTACATGCGTTTGTCTTTCAAATCCTGCAGCTCAGTCATAACCAAAGTTGTTGATCTGGTATTACTCTGACTACACACCTTGCAGTTCCTGGTGCAGTCTGATCATTTTAACAGTAGCTTATTGATTGTATTTTTTTGGGAAAGGGATCTAAGATAGTTTTTTACCATAGGCATAATTGTGTGCAGAATATTGCTGTTCATCAATCTGTAGTTTCTTCTATAACAGCCCAGGTTAAGCCTGCATTTGTAAAGGACGTCACTATATGTTGTTTAGTGAGTAAATAAAGCAGTGAATGTTTTGAATTGAGAACAGTGAGTTTGTACAAAGGAAGCCTTGGCTGCATCTGTTGGTGGGTGTGAGGAATATTTACACTGTTAATGCTGAAGCAGCTTATTAGACGTCCCTGCCACAGTCCTGACTCCTGCTGTGGCTGCATGTCCTGTGTGCGCACAGGGTGTGTGCAGGGTCTGCAGTGCCCAAGGCATCCTGGAGGAAATATGGAGGGACTGCTGCTCTTGACACTGTGTATGGAAAGCTGAATAGGTTGGTTTGTGTCTTAATTGGTTTTGTGCCTTTTGAACTTCCAGAACCAAATGGAGATGGAAAGGGGAGATCCCTGGTTGACCAAGTATTCTGTGATGGGCCTTAAAATGCATAGTGTTTATGGAAGCACAACAGAAGCATGTTCCCTTGTAGAAGGGTACACACTGGTGCCTTCTTGGGAACTTTGGTACCTTTAGTGCAAGACACTGTTTATCTTAAGATTTCTCCACCTTTCTCTTCAGTTTTCATCACCCAGTTTCAGATCTAGCTGAAATTTGAAGAATTTGCAATAGCAACTGCTGTCTCATTGTCCACAAACGGAGACTTCTTAGAGGAGATGAGCTAGGTAATTGAGAATTAGATAAAATGCTTCCTGAAGTTAATAGCCAAAATCTAGGTGGCTTTGGTGTTTTACACTTAATTGACTGTCACTGGGAAGGGCAAGGTTGTAACCTTTCTCCCAAAAATCATGACTAAGGAGTACTTGGTGAAAGGAGATAGAACACTGTCTTGGGAACAACAAGGAGTAATTAACTAAATAAGGATCAGCTTGTGCACCTAGTTTAGAACACTATAATAATGTACTACAGCAATTTTTCAGTGTTTTTCTCTTAGAACTCCTTTCCATGGATCTGAAAAAAGGAAAGTTCACTTTTAATCTTAAAACCCCCTCAAACAAACAAACCAACCTCAAAAGCAAATATGAGCACTTGCTCCCACCAGTACGACCCTTAACTCCTGTCTTTGTTCTACAAACGACTTCACATTTTAGGCAGTGACTAAAGAATATCAGAATTAATGAATAACTCACTTTTGCTCGAGAAAGGAGGGGAGATGCAGCTGAACCTTAAATGTAGCTGGTCACAGTAGTAAAATCAGTGTATTTTCATTTGCAGAACTTTAAGTGCTCTTTTTTATTCCTAGCTTAGTGATACAGGAATGTGAATATTGCCCTTATCTCTTAGATGAGTTGTTTGACTTACTAGGTCAGGCACTTACTTATTCACTTCATAGACTTGTGTGTCCTCTTATCAGTACAAAATATATTTTTACAAGTGACAATGAGAAGACACAAATAGCTCAGAACAGTCTGTTTTCTCAGCCTTGTCATCAGTTTCTCATTTTAATGAGAAGAGGAAAAAAAGGAGGAAGAGTAGAGAAGGGAGACTGATAGCAGTGGAGTATTTGTGAGATTATGCAGTTTCATTACTGAAGGTTCAACCAGCAGCTGATTGTTGTGTTGTACGTTCATTCAGAGCAGGCAGTTGCATTTGTTTCCCACATCCAAAGCAGGTACAGCTCTACCTCCCGTCAGGTTTTTTACCTGTTTTGTATAAAGCAGGTACTATTTGGGGAAAGCAATTACGGTAATCACCTGCTTTCATGTTCCTTGTGAGTCAGGTAGGGCCAGGACTGGAACATGCTATTTTATATGCCAAGGAACTGCTCTGTTTCACAGACTAGGGATGTGTCATCTACATGTGATGAAAGATGATTCTGTTTCTCAGCTCACCATCTTTGACCTGAGGAACGTTTCTGATAAATATCTTGATGAAATAGAAGCTGGCAAACTGTTGGATCTGATGAATCATCATTCTCTAGACAAAAGAAGTTTCCTTAAAATTGATCATTCCTGGAATAGTTCTTAATCAAAGTAGTGATACACGTATTGCAGCTACCAGACTTCACAGTTTGTGTCCCTCTTTAAAGAAGTGAAGGCAAATTAAAAATCAATCATAAAGGCCTTATTCACATCACTGAAACTACAGTGAGTAAAATTTCCCACAGGAGGTGGTGCTGTACGCACACCTCACTTCCCTGGGTCTCAAGTGGCTCAGTACCTTTCAGATTATGCAGGAAACCACGTAATTAAAAAACTGGTAGCCCAGAACTGCAGTTATAACAAAACCAGAATTTCTGGGGTTTGGGACACTCTGCCTGTAACTTGTTGCTCATACTGTGCAGTTCAAGCTTTTTGATTTTGGTTTTTTGCGTGTGTGAGCAGTTCCATAAGGGCATTTGCAATGCAGAAAATCACTCTGGGGATACAGAATGCACACATCTGGAGTGACCTAAAAGGTCTCTCCATTGCAGTGCAGCCTGCTGAGCCACCCAGGCTGGCTTTGTGTTCCTGTGCCATGGTGTTGGGGCAATCGATCAGTCTCACGAAGTTTCTTTGCATAGTTACCAATTCCTTAATAGTCATACATGTGTTTGTGTGTGTGTACTTAGACACAGGAGAAGATACTGCCCTCAGTGAGACATGCATGAGAAAGGATTTGCTGTGAGACGGATAAAATTGAGTTCTGCGTGAAACAGCCTTTTCCCTGTTGCCGAGGGTGATGCTGTTATTAGGTGACTAATCCTTGTTCAATATCGTGACAATTGCTGCCGGGTGTGTGCTTACCCGTGCCTTTGTGTGTCTGCTAGGCTACGAGTGGAACTGCAGAGGGGGGTGACCTCTCAAGCCACTTTTCGTGGGAGTGGGGGATGTGCCAGCTGCCTTCCCAATCTTGTGTCCCCACGGGCGCTCTCAGCTGGCGCTGCGTGTGCCACCGCATGGCCGCCGGGTGCGTCAGGCTCCTCCTTGGGCATCGGCACCGTGTCAGTTTTCAGCGTCACGGGCAGCTCTCCAGACAGGCAGGAGCGAGGACCTGCTCGAGTATCGTTTTCTGGCCTTTTCCCTTGCCTCAGAGCTATTTGTGGCACTCACAGACATGAAAATAACCTATCAAAGGGGGATGACTTTGCTGTTATCAAAGAATGGGTTTCATCTATCTCCCGAGAGAGCTGTCATGACGGTTGTTTTTTTCCCTATCACTTCTTTGAATTTCAGCTGTACAGTGGTGTTCAAGTGCAGTGCTGGGGACTGGCTGAATGTACAACAAACTGCTGGAGGCTCTTTGTTCCTTTGCTCAGCCTTGCACCGGTGAGACTGGCTTACTGCTCCTAGGGCATTAAAGCAAACAAGTAATATCACCCAGGGACAGATCAGCTACAGTGATCTGCAGGACAGACTCCCACAGCTCTGGCACTGGAAGTTCAGCCGCCTGGATCCGGCCTTGGGGAGATGTGAGGTGATGTTGTACAGCGAGCGGTGACAGGATGGTCCAGTTCAGCAGAAAGAAGTGTTTTGTCCAGGCTGGTGCTGTGGACAATGAAAACTGTGATAGTTTTCCTCAGACTTGGAGACTTGGTATAAGCTGAATGCTCTGCTGAGTGTTAAGAGCTGTACTGCTCCTAAGCTTTTGGTGCAGTGTGTATTCCACCTGCTAGAGGCCAGCTGTCCTTGGTCTGGCATTCCAGATCATGCCAGGAGAAGCATGTCTTATTTTTCCTTTCCCTTTCCATTTTTTCAGGAAGGCTGAGGGCAGGGTGGTATTTTAGGAAGCTGTTCAGGGTGGACAGGGGAGCAGTTGCTTTGGAGGGGGGAATGCAACGCATGTTTCCATAACCACTTCCTGTTACTGAAGCACTCTGCTGGCTGCCACCTTGCCCTTTCCTGTGTGTTGCCTCCTTGGCTGCCCACTGCCATTGTCTGGAAATGGGAGTGTGATGCAAGGTGCTCACTATCATCCACCATGGAAATGCTTCTGTACCACTAATGAGCTGATCTGTGGGCTGAGGTTAAAGTGCAACAGTTTAGGATGGAAGACATCAGAAGGATGTAGCTCTGTTAAACTAGTCCTTTTTGTTGCATCGAGGTATAGTCCAAGCAATTTAATAAAGCATGTCAATGAGTAACTCTCAGAAGCATCGATGGAATTTGTGTGTATCACACTTGGAACAAAGGTCTCCTCCATTGCTTGTTACAGATTAACTTGTCTGGTATTATGCAAGCTGCCTCTGCCAGCCGAGAACTAACTCTCCTCATTCACAGAGCAGCCCAGCTTGTAAAACATTACACAGCAGAAGTGCATAGCATGGCAATGAACCTTTCACTGAGGGCATTTCAGCCCTCTGCATTTCCCTCAGGAGTCTTTAAAATATTTTAATAAAGAAGCCATTGTTTCACTCAGTCATACGGCAATTTTGCAATGAAGTCTTTTATTAGAGGCCCACACTGAGCTGCATAATCCAGGGTAAAATGCTTTTCACTGTTTCCAGTGAAAAGTAATAAAAACTGAGTGGTTTGAGTGAGGTTGGCTTTCGCAGTTTTTTCTCCCAAGTTTTCATCCAAGCAGTAGCTATTTTTGTCTGTCAGTTGGAAATTTCAGTCTCTCCTGGTACAAGATGATTTCTAGAGAGGTCTGTCAGATAATGGTTGTTATGATTCAAG